AAAGTCTCTTTCAATTTTCAGTCATAACTCTTTATCAAACAAAATTTCAGCCATAACTCTTGACGCTATTTGCAACACAAGTTGCACCATAAGCTAAATGTGAAAAAAAAAAACGTTGCAATACTGTACCTTGAAAGTAATATGCAAGCCAAATTATAATGGTAGAGATACCGTATGGCTAATTCCAGCGAGGCAAAAAAATATATATCAGATATTCAAATTGATACATCTTAAAGACATTTTTTTTTTTGATAAAAATCATCTTAAAGACATTACAATACAAAATAACAATGACTGTTGCAAAATTCATGCACAAAATTAGTTTAGCGATAGAAAACTTAGAAATTAAGTTAAAGCCGAGAGCTTCCTAGAATTTGATTAATTCTATCAAATTACATCGATTTGTTATTGTTTATTATCTTTCTATATTACGAGTGATGTAATTTTTAACATGACTTTACTCTATGGAATGGTTTGGAACTTATATAATATAAAAATATTATAGTACAATAATGCGGCTATGGAAAATGGGTATAACTTTAGTTTGGTGTATTGTGTTTGTTAGTTTAATTAGGTAGGGCTATTAATTTTAGACTATTTAGCTGAAATAACCAATATCCTTAATTAGTGAGGAAAATGTTATCGACAAGTCAAAGTAAATATGTCCCCGACTTGATCTAACTCGTGTATGAGGAATTGAAGAATTCAGATGAATTCAGCTGAATTTATTATGTTTTACACCATTTGAAGTTGCTAAATTCAGTTGAAAAATCTGCACAAAAAGACAAAAGTTGCTGAATGCTTTTTTGTTCATCTTTTAATTGGGTAAATTTTGGAATTATTAAAATTTTAAATACATGCTTACTAATTTGTAACATTCTTAAGTTTTGTTAGTTTTACTTTTGATTTTATGTTTAAAAATTAATAATTATAAATCAATTTTTTGTAATATCTTTATTAATTTGTGGGATAGTTATAAAAAATTCATTTAAATTCAAAAATAGGAGAATGAGTACTTCTGTTTCTTTTTAAAATAAATTAATGAGATAATTCAATATAAAATATATTTTTATAAAATTTAAAACATTTTTAAACATAAATATTTAAATTTAAGAAAACCATGTTTATTAATATTTTCATCAATTTAATTACTTAACTTATTTTCAAAATTCAGCGAGATTCAACTATTACCTTTTGAATTCAAAGTTATTCTACTAGATTCCGCAAAAATTCATTAAAAAAATTAACCAAATTCCTCAATTCAGCTAGATTCTGCTGTTACTATTTACACTCATGCAAGGTCTTACTAACTTATAATGATTCATCGAGGAACAACAAAAACAAAAACTTAATGATTCGCTTACTTGCGATCACAATTTATGTTTGATTTGACTGGATTTGTAATTTGTAATTATTTAGTGAAACAATAAAAATGTAGACAATATATAACCATGACCATAATATTAATGTTACTTATTTTGTTTGACTCTACAATTCTGTCCCGTTGTTTTTTTCAGTAATAAAAACAAATAATCTTGGATATTGGCATATTGGGTG